GCTTTGACGTGAGCGGGAGCAACGCGATTTGGGCTAGTGCACGCGAGATTGGCAGCGCTTCCAATTCCAGTACTGTAGATATTGCGTGCATTTTTTACACGCTTGAGGATGTGGGATTTTCTTTCTTGTGACGTGACCCGTTTGTCAAATTGTGTCTCGCTTTTTGGTATCGTTTAAGAAGCCCGTCCGCTTACAATCCTAAAAAAGAAAAAAAAAAAAAAAGAAATTAGTAAAGAAAGACGCCCATACTTTTTTGTTGCTCTTTCTTTTATTATCTGCGCAGGATTTTAATTTGTGTAAGTTTTGTTTACCGTCCCGACTACGTAGGCGTTCGTACATGCCCGTCCTCGCGCCTCGAATTGTGTGCGAGCGAAATCAATCTCCCCAAGCTAGCTTCAGAAATTGCTCGAAAATCGAACGTGAGGAAAGCCAGAGATACGTGGTTTTCACAGGTCGTGCAAGATTAATCCATAAAGTGCGATATTGGTATATATATATATATATATATATATATATACATACATACATACACATACATGATTTCTGCGACAAATAGGAAGACAAAAAGACCATGTTCAAGCATAATATAGGAACATTGACACTTTGCACACACAAGGGAGGTCAAATGGCAGGTTTTTCTTCCTTGTGCAGGAAACTTTATTGCAATGTCAGAAGGGAAGTTCCACTCTAGAATTGTGCGCTCAATAAAGGAGGAAAGGAAATGCACTTGAAAACCTTCACAGTTCAAGTAAGAAAACATTTCGAAACGACAGTTCGTTTTCTTGCAGGGAGGAGAAGAGGGGAGAGAGAGGGAGGGAGGGAGGGAGGGAGGGAGGGAGGGAAGGAAGGAAGGAAGGGGGGGGGGGTGCCATGCACGGTGAAGACCAGAGTGTCGAACCGAAAACCGAAGCGAACGAAAAACCGGAACCGAGGAGTTAGTTTCTTCCGAACCGAAACTGACCCGCCAACTTGGAACTGTACGGAAGAAAATATAACTGTCTATTAGTCTGACGATGAATAGAAGTACAAGGGTGTACGGCAGGGATAGCTGAAAAAAAAAGGCTCTATGGACTTGGAGCGGCAGCCCAAAGTCGATGACGACGAAAAGAAAGCACACAGTTTCGGAAAACAGGCGGTAAGAAAGCGACAAATTAAGTAGCCGTCATGTCGAGTTGATTGCTTAGCTCTATTTAAGATGAAGGAAAAAAAAAGTAGCACAATTGATGCTTGCTTGCTAAATTGAATCAACCATTATCTTGTAAAGAAAAAAAACTTCAAATGCCAATGACCTTTATTTTAGGCGACCCAACAGACTGATAACTTTTAAATTCAAGCTAAAATATAACACAAAAAAAAAAAAAAAACAAGGAAAGACAGATATGTATGTAGCTTGTCATTTACTGCTCCATCAAATTTAAATAAAGCAATTTATTTCTCGGCACCTGAAAATAAGCGAACCCTACAAATGAATGGAAAGATACCCGTTTGCACTCTTGAAATAGTGCCTATTACGAAAAGAAGCACCAGGTAAATATAATATCACTTTAGCTTCTTCTTTTTCTTTTTAATACGGTACGCTGTTGGTTTATCTTAGTAAAATATATAAAATAGCGCAAAAAAGACGAGGACAAGGAGTATAGAGGACAGGCACTCACTTTCAACTAGTTTTATCCAGGAAAAGTAAACATACATATATAGCTTTTATTCACGATAAGTGCCGAGGGCAGCCGAGAAGGCGGCAATAGCCCCGGATGGTTTGATCGTGCTGGGAGACACCAGCATCCCAGCTCAAATATCTTCTACCCTTAAGAATATGTGCTGCTTTGCCTGTCGTGTGTATATACATGTTCACTTTTCCTGAATGAAACTAGTTCAACATCAGCGCCTGTCCTGTATACCTCTTGTTCTTCTATTTGTTGTGCTATTTTAATGTCCTACATTACTTTTGTGCTCCCGCAAATCCAAGCAAACCAATAAAAAATTCGGTTCGACACTCTGGTGGAAACTAAAAGCTTAGAAAGAAAGAGGAAAAAAAGAAAAAGGAAAACATTTCTACAA